CGACGCTCTATCCATTGAGCCAAACCGGTTTCGGCTGATTATTTTTTCTACCGTTGGTTGGTGACCACCTACAGAAAAGACATTATTGTCTTTGACTTAGAAACTGAGCCCCAATACAATCCCAAGTTACTCTTTAAAAAAAAGTTCTCATTGCTTTTAGAGAGAGAGGAACAGAGAAGAACAGATAGAAACACTGACCTACTGTAACCTGGGCATGTGCCTTGATTGGGAATTGAACTGCAGCCTCTTGGTTCTTGGGTGGACACTCAACCACTGAGCCACACCAGCTGGGCCCAAGTTTCTCTTGAGGGAGCTGGGGTGTCATGTATGTGCGCTCTGGTGGGGAGAGGCTCTTTCTATGGAAGCATTACTAGCAGACCGCAGGTGTCCAATCAGCACAAATACTAAATGATGACATTTATATATCTGTGTCCATGTGCATTTTTCTGTGTCCCTGTTTTTGCTCTTGTGTATTTAAAGTGTGTATTGTCTTTATGCAAAACTCTGAACAACTCCATATTCATGCAAGTCTGTGTATTTATGTCTATAAGTGTGGATGTCTATGTTTATAGAAGATGTATATTGCTCTGTGCATGTGTCTGTACAGCCGGAAGTCTGCCCTTAGGAGTGTGTCTGATACATAGTCCTATATGTGTGTCTGGGCCTAGTTTCTTGGGAGCTGAGTGTCTATGTATCTGTCTGCCTAACGTCAGTTCTGTGTGGCTATCTTTCTCCGTGTGCACCTCCTGCTGGGTGTGTGTGCCGGGCCTGGCGTGGTGTGTGCCTCACAATTCATTGGTTGCTTTCCCCTGGGAGCGGAACAGAGCCCAGGGCAGAGGGGACACACCCTCCCTGAGCTCCCGTTCTCCTGGGAACTCGCCTGGCCTGGCGGAGTGAGTGAGACCAAGAGCAGACTGCGTCAGGAGCCTGGGCCCCTTTTGCAACCAGCCCAGGCCCCAGGCGGTTACTGTGGCTCTCACAGGTCAGACCTGCCACGGTGCCTGCTGCCAGGAAGCCCGGCTCCCAGCGGGGCTATGCTGTCAGCTCCTCCTTGGGCCTGGGCCAGGTCCTCCGTGAGCAGAGCTCCTCCAGCTGAGGGGCCACATTAGTCACTCTGTGGCAAAGCAGGGAGTGACTCCCTGGGCCCGGGCAGTGCTGGCTGTCCCAGGGGCCATTGCTTTCTGGCCCTGAACGCAGCAATGCTTAGGCAGCCTGACCTTCTATTACCATCTTCTCTTCTTACAATTGGATTTCAAGATAGGCCAGACGGCTCTTTAAAAATATTTATTTATTTGAGAGAAACATCAATTTGTTGTTCCACTGATTTATGCATTCATTGGTTGATTTTTATATGTGCCCTGACCAGGGTTCAAACCCCAATCTTGGTGTATTGGGACAGCATCTAACCAACTGAGCACCCAGCCAGGACCCACATGGCTCTGATTAGCTCCACTTATCAGATGAGGAGGCCGCAGCCCAGAGCCACATCACGAAGGGAAAAGCAGAGCTGGGCTTTGGACCTGGGTTTCCTGACCTTGTGTCCAGGCCTCTTTCTAGTGTGCCACCTGGGTCGAGGAGGGGGGTCCAGCCCCCTAGAAATGATTCTCTTAAAGGGCCAGGCTGGGAAACATGGTTTATGAGACAGACGAGGTTGTTGTAGGCTGGGTAGTGAGGTGGAGGGAGACGAGGCTGGAGGTGGGATGTGAGGAGAGATGTCAGCACTGAATCAGGTCTGCCTTTCTAATGGAATGTTCTCCAGCCTTTCTCCACTGGACCTAGGATTTGTCCCCTAGCTGGGATGACTCAGATATTTTTGAAATTGAATGGGAGCTTTATTAATAACCTGGGCTTATGTTCATCCTGCTTCTAACCCCTTTGGAAGGCAGAGCCAGTCCTTGTCACCAGCTCCATGGCCTCCTTGACTCTCACCTGTGCCAACCTGCCCCTGTCCCCAGGTGTCCGGGTGACTCCCCGGCCCCTTGGTAGTGAGGGCACCAGGGAAGCCTCTGGGCCCAGTGTGGGCTTAGGGGTCCCTGGGGCCACTTGAAGCTGGAAGAAAAGCAGACAGCACACACCTCACTCAAGGATGCCTGACCTAGGCCGGCCTCCTCCCTCAGACCTGTATTCTCTGTGGCCATGAGCTGCCTCTGCCCCTCTCCTCTCCCTGCCCAGTGCCCTGCACAGTTGGGGAGCTCGCACAGCTTGTCCCAGAGGTATCTCTCCAGGGACAGCAAGATCACCCTCCCGGTGAAGACAGGGACTGGCTCTGTGTGCATTTTCTACCCACGGCACCGCCCCACCCCTACCCAATAGGCCGCGTGCTGGCCACTCCATCCTCCACCGGCCTCCTGTTTCAGCCTCATCCTCCACTTGCTGGGCACCTCTGGGTAAATCACTGCCTTCCTCCTCCTCCTCCGAGTTTCTCCCGGTTCTGAAGTGGGGCTAACACTCTCGGCCCCTCCCTGGCTCCCAGGGCACCTGCAGGAATCAGCAAGATAATAGCGAGGAACTGATTTAGAGGAAGCTATCAAGTGAGAGGTATCAGTGCTGGGCTGTGTTTACCTGGGTGTGGCCTTGGGTTCCCAGCCTCCTGGGGCCTTGGGACCAGCCCTGACAGCTTCTTGGCCCGGCTTCTGGCTCCTTTGTCTCATTTCCAGAGAAAGGACAGAAACCAAGCCCAGCTGTCTGGTCGTCTGGAGATGAGACATCAGAGCAAAAACTTTGGGGTTCAGGAATGCTGGCATCCTGGCCAGGCTCTGTCCCCACCACTGGCGGTGTGACCTGGAGCCAGTTACTGCCCCTCTCTGGCCTCAGTGACTTGGCTCTGATAGCCTCCCCCGGCTATGCACTCAGGGGCCCTAGAACCTGCAACGAGAAATAACATCCTAATTTTAAGATCAAAAAGATCTTGCCATCTAGTCCAGGTCCTGTACTCCTCGTAGATCTGTCTGGGAACCACAGACTAACCCTGGTCAGCCTGATTACCCCAAGGTCATAAACTGATTGATTGCAAAGGGGATCATGCAGGAGAGAGTAAGTGGGTCAGAAAAAAATCCATTGGGAGGATAACTCCAAGTGAGTTAGTGAGTCAATAAAAAGAGGCTCTGCCTCACTGTCTGTTCTCTCCTCTCTAGGTCTGCTCTGCTTCTCTCTCACCGTAATCTCCCCACTCCGCACCTTTACATGGCTTACGCCCAAATCCAGGAGCCTGATACTCTGCGCCAAGCCCAGACCCCCTCACCTCCAATGTGTTTGAGCCTCATGAGAACGCACCACAACTGGGACCCTCAGAGCTAACTATATGGCCCAAAGACCACAAGATTCATGGTTTTGCTTTGTTCCTAGCCCTATTTTATGCTCCTTCTTGCTCTTTTTATTCTTGGTCCTACTTTATATTCATGTCATAATTTATAGTCCTCTTTAAATCCTTCCTCAGCCCAGTGTGGCTCAGGGTTTGAGCATTGACCTATGAACCAAGAGGTCCCGGTTCAATACCGGGTCAGGACACGTGCCCAGGTTGTGGGCTCAGTCCCCAGTGTGCGGTGTGCAGGAGGCAGCTGATCAATGATTCTCTCTCATTGTTGGTGTTTCTATCTCTTTCTCCTTTTCCCTTCCTCTCTGGGGGGAAAAATTAAAAAAAAATTATATATATATATATATATATATATATATATTCCTTCCTCAGTAAGGCAAGTCATAGGCAAACAAAATAAGATGCCAACAATAACATCAATACAACCAGTCTTTACCTGGTACCTGATGGCCCCTCACCTTCTGGCTGGTTCCCCTGAAGCTGGCCCTCCTGCAGTCAGCCCTGCCACTGTTGGTGGCATTGCCACCCATCCAGACTCCCAGGACAGAAAACCTGGAGGCTCCACTGACTCCGGTTCTCCCTCTTCACAATCCAGGTACCAAGTTTTGAATTTGTTCCTCCCCCAGATCTCCAGAGCTCTCGCTTCTCTTCCATCCCCACTGTTTCTACCCCAGAGTTTCATGGACTGATGATTTGTTTCTTTCTAAAATATATCTGAATACCTGCTCAGAACACAATTATTATTACAAAAGCAATAGCTATTCATTGTAGAAAACTTAGAAAATACAGGTTGACCAAAAGAAGAAAACAAAAACCACCTGTCATTTTGCCATGAGAGCTAACCCTGTGGACATTTGTTTTGTTTTGTCTTTTTTTTAACCCCACAACAAGGGGCTTCTAGGTTTGTTTTCTTGGTCTTCCTGATTTTGGCGCCCGGCTGATCGCCCAGGAACCACCCGGCAGGCTCTCAGAGAGCCTGTGGGAGAGTTTGGGCACCCCCAGGCCAGCTGAGCTTCCGGTGTGGGGCTTCCAGGTGGCACTATTGATGACAGCCCCTCCCGGGAGGGGGGGTGGGGGGAGAAGTACTTTCCCAGGCTTCAGCCTGGCGGTGGTTGGGTGGGGAAGGGAGTGGTCCTTGTGCAATAGGACAAACCGCTCCTCATTCAGGCTGTTTGTTTAAGTGAGCAGGGATAGGTTTGGGAGAAACAATCAGGGTTTTGTTAGTGTTTATTTGAACTGTTAGGACAACTAAATTTTGTTAAAACTCTCCAACGTAGGGAAGGCGGGATGGTTATAAGGGATAAGATGATGGGAGCCCCAAAGTTGAATGTCTGGGAGCGACAGGCTGTGAGGGGGCTGGGGACAGGTTAGCACCTGGCCACTTCAAGAGGACCTGAATCTGGCGCCCGCATTATTGCCAGTGCCCTGTTTTCACAAGAAGCTAGACAAGGATATTTTTTAAAAATATATTTTTATTGATTTCAGAGAGGAAAGGAGAGAGCTAGAGAAATGGAAACATTAATGATGAGAGAGAATCATTGATTGGCTGCCTCCTGCACATCCCCTACTGGGGGGGTCGGGGTGGGGGGATCGAGTCTGCAACCCGGGCATGAGCCCTTGGCCGTAATCGAACTTGGGCCCTTTAGTCCGCAGGCCAACACTGTATCCACTGAGCCAAACTGGCTAGGGCAGGATTTTTTTTTTTTTTAAATGAAGTTTCCTGACTCTTTAAATGTTGATAACTTAACTAAAGAAAGCACTGTTTGGGTCAAAGTGTGATTGCAGGCTGCCAGGTACAACCTTTCAGCTAGTCTTTACTGTACATCTACTATGTACTTCACATAGGTTACTCTGTTTTATTTACTGGGCATGGCTACCTCCCTCTCCCTGTGGCTCGACCTCTAGTGATATGACCTGCTTACCTGCCCATTTCTTTTCCTTTTTTAAAAAATTTATTTTTCAACTTTAAAAAATATTAATTTATTCATTTGAGAGAGAGAGAGAGAGAGAGAGAGAGAGAGAGAGAGAGAGAACTATCAATCGTTGTTCCACTTATTTATGCATTCATTAGTTTCTTCTTGTATGTGCCCTGACTGGGGATCAAACTTGCAACCTTGGCATATTGGAGGATGCTCTAGCCAACTAAGCTACCCAGCCAGGACTTGTCTATTTCTTAAACGTGAATTTAGATCACCCCATTCACCTGCTCAAATCCCCAAGTGCCCATCAATGTGGCCTCTACCCACCAACCTCCCTGTCAGTGCTTGAGCCAAACTGAGCAGCTTGCTGGTCTCCAAACAAATCAAGATCCATAATCTCCACTACCCAGCTTTTGCTCTCTATGATTTTTGTTATGCCTGGAACACCCACAAGTGTTTTTTGTTTTTGTTTTTTTAATCTTTATTGTTGAAAGTATTACATATGTCCACCCTCACATCCCCCATTGACCCCTTCTAGCCCACATTTTAAAATTTATTTATTTTTAGAGAGAGAAACATCAATTGCTTGCCTCCTGCATGTGCCTTCATCAAACCTGCAACCTGGGAATGTGCCCTGACGTGGAATCTAACCTGCCACCTTCTGTTCCATGGGACAATGTTCGAACCAACAGAGCCACACCAGCCAGGGCCTGCGCATCTCACTTCATACCTCCTCCCTGAAGCTCCAACCTCCTTCTTTTTATTTATCCAATTTATTGGGAGTGACAGTGGTAATAAAGCTGTATAGGCTGCAGGTATACAATTCTACATTATCTGTACATTGTATTGTGTGTTTACCACCCCAAGTCAACCTTCTTAATCGCTAAGGCTTGAGCAGCTCTGCTTTCTTCAGCAGCCCATTTGCTGGATACCTCAGAGCCACAGCATAGTAGGGGTGTCGAACTCAATCAGAGAAGGGGCCAAAATCTAAAATCCAGCCTAAATCGCGGGCCCAATGGTTTACTGAACAGTCATAAACTGTCATTGTGATGGAAACGCAGCGGAGTGCAGTGATGACAGCGCGGTGCGGGCCACATTGCAAGGCCTGGCGGGACGGATTTGGCCCGCGGGCCTTGTGTTTGACACATGTGGCATAGGGTATGCAGAGATAACAAGGCCCCATCCCTGTCCTGAGGAGCCTGCCCACACGAGGGCAGACATCTACTCCTCAGCAGAGCTGTGTAAGCCTGCCAGAATGGAGGGCAGCTTTGACTTCTGCCTGGGGAACGAGGGGACGGCTCTTTGAGCTGGAGGACCGGGTAAGTAGGAGTTTCCAGGGGAAAGAGGCATTTGAGGTTGAGGTAACTGCCTGTGCAAAGGAATGGAGGCGTGAGATTCCGAGAAAGGAGTCATGTGGGTGGGGATGGACAGAGGACAGCTGGGGACGTCACAAAGATAAGGAGCAATCTGGAACCAACAGTATATGCATCTCTTCTGCCTGTACTCCAGGAGAACAGGGGTGGCATCTTTTTTTTTTTTTTTAATATATTTTATTGATTTTTTTACAGAGAGGAAGAGAGAGGGATAGAGTTAGAAACATTGATGAGAGAGAATCATCGATCAGCTGCCTCTTGCACACCCCCTACTGGGAATGTGCCCACAACCAAGGTACATGCCCTTGACCAGAATCAAACCTGGGATCATTCAGCCCGCAGGCCGACGCTCTATCCACTGAGCCAAACCAGTTTCGGCGGGGATGGCATCTCAATTTTCATTGCTTCACACCTGACCGCTGGCTGGGACTGTGTACTCTGCTCAAACCCGTGCAGCCAAGATCACAGCGCCCAACAGCGGCGAGAGCGCCCCCTAGTGGCCCTTGTGCGAATTCACCTCTTATCGCCGTGGCTGACTCAGGGATGGTGCTTTGCCTGGCATGGACTCACTTCATCTCTACCCTTCCCTGAGAGGATGTTCCCTTCGGCCCAACAAACACTCATTAAGCACTTACTCTGTGTTGATAACTGCTCTAAGAAATGGGATACAGAGTTTAAGGAGTCATTAATCACCTCAGCCCTCGAAATGCTTTTTGGAATAATAGGAGTTGATTAATGCTGGGCCTTGAAGGATGGATGAGTGGCTGGCAAATTTGGAAACAAAAATGCAGTGCCCCGTGAGAGGGGACGAGCCAACCCTCTGCCATCCACTCCGTGTAGCGCAGCCCAGTTACTACGGTCATGGGCCGAGGGGAGACTCAGACCACTAAGACGCCATCTGTGTCTCAAGGAGCTAAACCCAGTGGGAAGACAATAAGCTTCGGAAAGGGAAAGGGGGTGCTCTGAGCTCAGGGTCCTGTTAGCAGACATAGGGGTGTGAAGCAGGGATGTCACCCACTGACTGTGAGCAGGAGGATTTCAGGAATAACTTGAGTTTAGGCTGAAAGACGAGAAAGGGGGAGGTGGTCCAGGCTGAGCACAATAGGCACACACAAAAAACAGAAAGTTCCCCATCCTGAGGAGCTAGGACCCTTTGTTTCTTGACCTGGGTGTTTATCTTCTGGATGTGCACAGCTATGGAAACCCAGAGCTGTGCACTTGTGACATGCATATCCACCTGGGTCAGACTCCAGCTGTTTAAAATTAGCCTCCAACCTCTCGCATTGCCATTTTACTCTTTTGTAGACCACTTACCGCAATCTGAGTCTCCCTTTTGTAAGAGTAGGCTCTGGAGCCAGTTAGGGTTTAAATCCAGTCTCCCTGTACCAGCTCTAAGACTTTGAGAACTTTGCTGTCAGTTTCCTCACTTGTGAAATGGGAATTATAGTACCTGTACAGTATTACAGGATTGTGTGCCGAGACAGTAACTTGAGATGCGTAAAGCATTTACATAGTGCTTTGTGTGTGACAAGACAGAATTCCTAATGACTGGCGATACCTAGCACATAGGGGCTTAATTTGTTGAAAAGAATAAACGAATTAAAAGCATGCCTTGCTTTTTGCACCAAGATGTGGCTCAAACAAAGGGAGACAGGGTGTGGGTGCGACTGGAGCACAACTAAAGCTCCTGGGTGGGAGTCCAGAGTCTGGGGAGCACTCTGCTCCTGGGAAGCCAAGGCTCCTGTGGGTGGAGGGGACAGTGGTGACCCGGGCCAGGTGGGACCCCTGTCCTAGGCCCCACAAAAAGGGCAGTGAAGACCCAGGGCTCGTCTGTGTGCCCACCCTCCCTGTCTTCAACTGCACACTGCAGTGAAGACCTGCCCCAGGATCAAACCAGGAGGAAATACCGCAGGGCAGCACTGCGGCTTCCCTGGGCCCCCTCCTCCCATGGCCCTCACCCCGCCCCTCTGGTGGTCAAACTTGGCACTTCTCCCCACCCTCAGGTGCTGGTGCAGTTTCGGGAAGGGTGGAAACCTGCTCAACAGGGTGGCCAGAGCCTGAACCGGTTGGACTGGGCGGTCACATCTCCCCCCAGCAGCCCTGTCCCTCTCCGGGCCAGAGAGAGAGGCAGAAGCCCCACGGAACAAACGTCTTTATTACACTCGGTGCGCTGGGCCTGTGGGAGGTGGGGGCGCGGAGGGGGTGGTGCCAGGGAGGCCTGGGGAGAGCAGGGAGCTGGAGCAGCTCTGGCTCCATGCGCTAGGTCAGGCCGAGTTGGGACTCACTCTTGGGGGAAGGGAAGAGGCAGCAGCGGCCAGCTGGCCACTTTTCACTCCTTTCATTCCAACTCCCCCCCACCCACCCCACCCCCACCCCCCCGCCCCGGGCATTAAATAAAAAGCAACTCTGTACAGCACAGAATTCATAGGAGGTCCTTCCCCAGCTCTGCACGGTGCAGAGTGGGAGGAGTGGTGCTGGAGGACAGGGTTGGGCCTCCAGCTTCTGGCGCCGCCCAGTCCCCTCCCCAACACCACGGTGTGGGGCAGGCAGCTTTGGGCAGGAAACAGGCCTCCAACTTCCTCTGAAATCCAAGGTCAGCTGGTCCATCTGTGGGACTCCTGGCTCCAAGGCTTTCTTTCCTTTCAGACACGGAGCCTTCTGGCTCAGACACCTCTGACAGGCCTCTGAGGCGGAGGCCTGAGAAGCAGCAGGCAGGGTCTGGCCCCAAAGTCTTTCCCAGCCCAGGCCTCCTCCTTGGCGAGGAGGAAGCGGGGTCAGGTGAGCGCTGGCGAGAGCCGGTGAGGGCCCAGCTCAGAGGGGCCGGGTGGTGTGGTTGTAGACCAGGTGCTCGGTGTCCTCTGTGGTGGAGACGGTGGAGCTGGCGGGGGTGGGGGGCTGGGGGTTGCGGTGGCCGTGGCGGTAGCTATGGAAGCCCTTCCTCTGGTTCTTGAAGAAGCAGTACCCCAGGATGGCCACCACCACCACGATGCAGGCGGCCAGGAACACCGCAACGGCCACTTCCGCGGAGCCTAGGGCAAGACAGGACAGAACGAAGAGCCCCTGGGACCGGCTCAGTTCTGTGCCCACCCCCGCTCTGAGGACCAAGTCAGATGAACGGCCCTATGGGGAGCTCAGTGGGACGGATTCTGATGGGGCCCCGGGTCTCAGCTCCAAGCTGCTCTGTCTGCAGGGAGCTTGGAGAAAGGCCTGGGACTGACGGCAAACATCTACACACTCTCCACGGTGCTTGCCCCCCTGCTATGGTAGGTACGACTATAGCTTGTGACACTCTGTCCCTCTAGCCAACCTCAGGGTCCTTCTCAGCACAGGCTTTGGCAGTCACAACCAATCGTACGCAGTTGGTGCTTGAGTTGATACTACTCATTGGTAATAGGGCAGACCCAGACTTACCTTCGTTGGGAATGGGGGCTTCCCGCCGCAGACCAAACACATCCTTCTCTGCAGCATGATGGGGGAGAGACAAGTCAACAGGAGGGGCTGGTGCTCAGCGGCTGCACAGCACCCAACGCCCCACTGCCATCCTCTCCCCCCCATTTCCAGGTGCTCCGAGACGCGGAGTGACCAGCCCAGGCTTTGGGACAGAGCACAGCGCTCCAGCTAAGCCTTTCCCCTCCCCATCTTCCATCTGCCCACCGCCCCGCTCACTGGAGATGCCGTGACAGGACTCCAGACACTGCTGCTCCTCCTCAAAGTTGTTCTTGTTGCCGTAACAACCGCCGTAGGTAAAGCGGGCGCAGCGTTCGCTGAAGGGGTTGTAGTACCAGCGAGGGATGTTCTCCTTGCAGAGGCCCGTGTCGGGCAGGTCCACGCAGTGCCCTGGGAGGTGAGGGGCAGGCAAAGGGCACTGAGCAAGCCCTCTACCAGGCTCTATGTAGCTGCTGCCCGCCACCTCCCAACCCACATCAGACTGAGGAAGGCTGTGGCTCTGTGAGGGTGTCCGGGGCCCCAGAAACATCTGGCCCATGTGCAGAATTGCCAGAAGCCAGAAAGACATGTTATGGACAATAATTATAGGCCCAGAAGTAAACTACCCTGACTCACATAATTATCCCTTTTTCAATCTTTCAGCTTTTCTGATTGTGTCAAGGTCTTGGTTTTCTCTCTAATACTGATGATGGTCTACCTTTTAACAAAAGTGGCTGAGGGCCTAAGCCTTGGCAGACACCCATGTCCAGCTAAAATTTATTAATGTTGTCTTATTATACTTATTTTAATAGTCAGTCTCAAGTTTTGGTATGTAATAGTGAATTTCCATTTATGGTAGTGATGTAAAATTTCCTTTTTAATACATTAATTTAAAAGAGTAATTGAATAATAACAATATTTTTTAAAATATATTTTATTGATTTTTTTTACAGAGAGGAAGAATCATCGATCAGCTGCCTCTTGCACAGCCCCTACTAGGGATGTGCCCGCAACCAAGGTACATGCCCTTGACTGGAATCGAATCCAGGACCCCTCAGTCCGCAGGCCGACACTCTATCCACTGAGCCAAACCGGTTTCGGCTGGATAATAAAAATATTAAGTAAATACTACCTCAGTGATCTGTAGGCATGGCTACATTTCTGAAGGTGTTAAGAGGCTGGTGTGGGTCAATGGTTGAGTGTCAACCTATGAACCAGGAGGTCACCATTCAATTCCTGGTCAGGGCACATGCCCACCTGCCCACATGCCCAGGTTGCGGGCTTGATCCCCGGTAGGAGGCAGCCGATCAATGATTCTCTCTCATCATTGATGTTTCTTTCTTTCCTCTCCCTTCCTCTCTGAAATCAATAAGAACATTAAAGAAAGAAAAAGAAAAAAGAGGCTGATTATACTTAGGAAACAGCCAAAGAAGAGAGCTGGAAGCCCGCCCTGGCTGTTCTGCCCAGAGCCCGGCACACACAGCAGGCCTTTGGCACGGGGACAGAACGAGTGAGGCGGCAGTGCCAGCATCTGCCCTCACCCGGAGGATCTGGGGGCCTCACCTTTGTCACTGGGGAAACGGAAGCTCTGAAGCTCCTCGAAGCCACTGGTGTCTGCAAAAACGAAAGCTCAGAGGCACAGCCCCCACAGCGGTCTCCCAGGGATGCAGGGTAAATTGTCAGGACCTCCCTCCCTGCTGCCCACCACTCCTCCGCCTCCCAGGCCTTACATTCTTCACAGGTGGCCTCGTCGGAGGCGTCAGAGCAATCGGCCGTGCCATCACACTCCAAATAGCTGTCGATGCAGCAGCCATTTCTGCAGCGGAACTCGGAGGAGGGACAGGTGTCAGAGCACACTGAGTGGGGGAGGAATCAGCGGGGGGTGAGGTCACGCTCCAGCAGAGGCCAGCAAGTACCAAGGGCCCATCCTCTACCTGGCCCTGTCTGCCCCAGCATAGAATCACGACACGCCCACTGTTTCCCCACCTGTCCCCCATGAACCCTTCCTCACACACACAGGGCAGATCCTGACAGGAGGATGCTAGGCTGCAAAAGGTGGGGTGCTTATGCTCTGTCCACTTACTATGGGGGAAGGAATGGGTTGGGCAAAAGCAGCTTGGTCAAGGGCGTGGACATGATATGGGCTGGAGATCTGGCAGGAGTGAGGGGACTAGGGAAAGGAGCAAAGCCTACCTGAATGGCGCCTTTCCGTGGAGGAACCTGGGAAAGAGAAAACAAAGAAGTGAGAGGAGATAGGCAGGGATGAGCTGATGGGGGGCCTGGGAATGGGGGACTCTCCTCCCCACCTCCCTGACTAGGGAAGAGAGACCACCTACCTTGAGGGAAAGTCACCTGAGCCCCAAAGCCTCCATGCAAAGGCCCACCTTGTACGTCGCGGCAGGCTAGCTTGCACTCTTCCTCCCGGAGGTAATTGTTCTTGTTGCCCAAGCAACCTCCATACACGAAACTCTTGCAGATCTGTTCTTTGGGGTCATAGTACCAGCGGGGGAAGGAACCACGGCAGCGGCCCACCTTTTTGGTTACGAGGCAGTATTCTGTGGGGAGGAGAGCTTGTGAGGGGGCCGAGGGGCCAATCAACAGATGGGGCGGCTCTAGATGCTGCCTACCCACCCCCTCACCTTCCGTCTGCTTGGCGGAGAGAACGGTGACGGTGATGTTGGCCGTGCTCTCTGGCTGGTCAGAGCTGTCCAATGTCAGCTGGAACAGGTAGGTGCCTTCCTTGAGTCCCCACAGCTCCACCTGGTCCGGATCTTTCCTCTACACATACCAGAGTGGCCATCAGGCTGGGACCCCTGATACCTTTGGGCTCCTCCGGGCCCTCCCAGCCACCACCCCAGGCAAACAGAGGGACCTGCTATCAGATGTATCCTCAGCATCTATCCACCTTGGCCTATGGCCCCGGAGAGAAAGGGGGCCCCGGAGAGCTGGGTGCAACCAGGGAGCCAGACCAATGTCTCACCTCTACCCTGACGTCCGGGTCACCCTGCAGCAGGCGCCAGTCTGTGTTCTCCACACCATTCAGCAGCAGGGGTTCCTGGGGCTGTACCTTCAAGTCTATGCCTGCCCAGATCCTGGGGATCCTGGATCCTAGGGGGAAGTGGGGGGGGGGGGGGGTAGGTCAACTCTCACTGAACGGACCAGATCTCTCCTGGGGATGAGGAGCTCTATGGGCCATACCTAGACCAACCTAGGACTCAGCAACCAGCATGGGGCACAGGTGGGAACCCACAAATAAACCATCTTCTTTTTTAATTTATTAATATTTTTCTTTATTGATTTCAGAGGGGAAGGGAGAGGGACAGAGAGATAGAAACATCAATGATGAGAGAGAATCATTGATCGGTTGCCTCCTGCACATTCCTTATTGGGGATCGAGCCCACAACCCGGGCATATGAGCTTGACCGGAATCAAACCTGGGACCCTTCAGTCCGCAGGCCGATGCTCTATCCACTGAGCCAAACCGGCTAGGGCTAAACCATCTTCTTGCTCTCCATTTATACTTATTATGTCTTTGGTATATTAAAGACATTTTTATGTTGTAAGATTTACTTTCTGAAGCAAATTACTATACAACATGTGCCATCTGATCCCATTTAAAAAAAAATTTCTAGGGGAGGTTTAGTCCTATCTTCTACATTAAGTAGGTCTTGTGCTGACTGCTTAAAAAAGTTAAAGTGCCCTAGCCGACTTGGCTCAGTGGGTTGAGTGTTGGCCTGTGGACTGAAAGGTCCTGGGTTCAATTCCAGTCAAGGACACATGCCTGGATTGCGGGCTGGATCCCCAGTGTGGAGTGTGCAGGAGGCAGCCGATCAATGATTCTCTCTCATCACTGATGTTTCTCTTTCTCTCTTTCTCCTTCTCCCTTCCTCTCTGAAATCAATGAAAATACATATTTTTTAAAAAGTTAAAGCAACAATAATTTTGAGAAGCCAAGTAAGTAAATGTAGAGTTAACATCCATCATCCCCTCTGCTGACAGAGACCCTACACACAGAGTCCCCAGGCAGCAATGTGACCAGTCTTGGTGTCCGGGGAGAGCGGCCACAGGAAGAGGGTGCCTCTGCCACCTCAGACAGACCTGCCTCCAGGTATGAGAGGGCCCAAGGGAACCAGGCCCTCCCTCAACCTGACAGTGGCTGCGTCTGAGACCTCCCCGGAGCTGGAGAGAGACACAAAGCACAAAGCAGGACTCCTGCCTGTCATAGGCTGGATGGTGGCCCCCCAACGACCCCATGTCTAACCTCCTGAACTCATGAATGTGAACTTATTTGGAAAAAGGGTCTTTGCAGAAGTAATCAAGTTAAGCATTTCCACATTGGTCACCCCGGATTAGCCAAAGACAAGTGTCTGTAAAAGAGAGGCTAGCCCGGCCGGTGTGGCTCAGTGGTTGAGCATCGACCTATGAACCAGGAGGTCACAGTTTGATTTCCAGTCGGGGCACATGCTGGGTTGCGAGCTTGATCCCCAGTAACGGGCATGCAGGAGGCAGATGACCAATGATTTTCTCTCATCATTGGTTCTATCTCTCTCTCTCTCGCTCCCTTCCTCTCCAAAATCAATAAAAATGTATTTTTTTTTTTTAAAGAACAGTTTCTATTCTAGTATACCTTAAAAAAAAAAAAAAAAAAAAAAAAAGACAGGCTAGGAGAACATGGAGTGAGGAAGAAAGGGCTGTGTGAAGGCAGAGGCAGAGACCGGAGTTATGGAGCACAAGCCAAGGAAGCCCTGGTGCCACCAGAAACTGGAAGAGGCAAAGACGGACCCTCTTCCAGGGTTGTCAGAGGGAGCAGAGAACCTGCCAGCACCTTGATTTTGAACTTCTGGCCTCCAGGACTGTGAGACAACAAAGTTCTGTGATTTTAAGACACCCAGTTTGTAAAACGTTGTTTCAGCAGCCACAGGAAATCAGTCCTGTCTTTGAACGCCTTGCAGCCCAGTGAGGCAGGTAAGACCCAAGCACACGAAGCTGTCTGGGAGAAAAGACCCAACAAGATGCAGCCACAGGAAGTGTGTACGCAGGATAAGGAAGTGGATGGACACCCAGAGAAGGGAGAGGCTCTGAAAGACCGGAAGAAGAAGAAAAGTATTTTTGGCCCTCACTGGTTTGGCTAAGTGGACTGTGGGCTGAGGGGTCCCAGGTGAGGTTCCGGTCCAGGGCACATGCCTGGGTGGCAGGCTTGGTCCCCAATGGGGGGTGTGCGGGAAGCAGCTGATCAATGATTCTCTATTATTGATGTTTCTCTCTCTGTCCCTCTCCATTCCTCTCTGAAATCAATAAAAATATATAATAATAAAAAAAAGTCTTTTTGGAGAAGGGAGAAAGAATGTATTGATTCTTTTATTTTTGTTTTTATTTGTTTGGTTGTGGGAAAGAATGTGCTATGTTGTTGATGTGAGGGGCTTGCCTGGATAGTGTGGCTCAGCCATTGAGTGTCGACCTATGAACAGAAGGTCATGGGTTGCAGGCAGGGACCCCAGTAGAGGACCTGCAGGAGGTACCAATCGATGATTCTCTGTCATCATTTATGTTTTTATCTCCCTCTCCCTTTCTCTCTCTGAAATCAATTAAAACAAAGCACAAAAACTGTTTTAAAACAAGAAAACGTGAGGGGCCCAAGCAAGGAGCTGGGGATTCGCAAGGCTGGTAGCATGACATGAAAGAGACTGGCTGGCCTGGACAGACCTCAAAGGGCCTTGAATACCGGCCCAGGGCATGTGGACGCAGGAGGAGTGACATTTGAATGTTTAACAGCTGGTGGTACAGGAGGGACACTGGCTGCAAGAGAGGGGCAAGAGTCCTAGAAGCCCTGGCTGCAGCAGACACTGACCGAGATGCCTGGTGGACACCCGGGAGGGCTAAGGTAGGGCCATGGGCCGGGGGCCTGGGGAGCAGGGACCCCTGTCTGCCAGCTGTCTGAACTAGGAGGCTGGCGAGTGGGCCAGTGCAGTGGGTGAGGGCAGATGCAATGAGAGTGGCCTGAATTAGGGAGAGCTAAGGGAATGGAAAGGAGGATGTCAGCATCAGTGTTGGGTGTGTCTGACAGGTGCTGGGAATGGAGAGGAAGAGTAAGGCAGAGGGAAATCAGATATAGAGGAAATGTGTGCATTCAGTCACAGGGAATTTAAATTTGAGGGAGGTAAGACCAGCCAGAAGGGAGGGACACAGTGGGAGCTCCAGAGAAGCCACGGTTGGAAACAAATCTGGAGTCGTCATCATTAGCAAAGCTGCCACGCTGGGTACTTCCCCTGCATCAGCTACCACACGAGTAGGCAAACGAGGCCTGCAAACCAAATCCAGCCCACCACCTACTACATTCCAAATGGTTGAAAAAAATAAAAAGAATAATATTTTGTGACATGAAAAGTACATCAAATTTGTGTCAGAACCAGCATCGCCTACTCAGTTACACATTGTGGATGGCTGCTTTCACCTTACAACAGCAGAGTTGAATATTGCAACAGAGACTGCATGGTCCACAAAGCATAAGACATTTACTATTACTATTTGGAAGCTCATAGAAAGTTTGCTCACCCCTGATCTACATCACCCACCTTCCTAAACAACCTGCTACAACTACATTCTTTTTTTAAAAAACATTTTTTTTTAATTGATTTCAGAGAAGAAGGGAAAGGGAGAGAGAGAAACATCAATGATGAGAGAGAACCATTGTTCGGCTGCCTCCTGCATACCCCTTACTGGGGACTGAGCCCGCAACTTGGGCATAAGCCCTGACCGGGAATCGATCATAGCCTGGTTCATAGGTCGATGCTCAACCGCTGAGCCATGCCAGCTGGGCTGCAACTGCATTCTTATCCCTCCTTCCAGAGGAGAAAACTGGCACCAAAGAGGTTAAATGCCTGGCCCAGGGTTGTTCAGATTCTATATGGCAGAGCTGGGATTTGAACCCTGTTCTATCTGATTCCATAGCTCATTCTTTTTCCAAAATGCCATATTGCAGGCCACTCACTTGCTTAGCGGTGTACTTTTGATTGCTTTTATAATCTTGGGATTTTTGTTTTCAGTTTAGGTAATAGGGATACATGACGTAAAATTCAAAAGTACAAAAGGATAGTGAGCATTAAGTTCCCTCTTCTCCTAAATGCCCAGGTTCTTTCCAGAGACATCTACTCTTGCTAGTTTGTGTGGGTGTGACTATCAACAGAGATGACATTGAACCCATAAGCATACAACATAGTATTTTTTTAGTTGCATATACTCATATAAATATACCATAATATTTAACCAGTCCATCAGTCTCCTCTTGATTTAGTTTTCCCTCCTTCCTTTCCTTCTTTTTTTAAAAAAAACATTTCTTTATTGATTTCAGAGAGGAAGGGAGAAGGAGAGATCGAAACATCAATGATGAGAGAGAATCATTATTGGCTGTCTCCTCCACGCCCCCTACTGGGGATCGAGCTCGCAACCCAGGCATGTGTCCTGACCAGGAATCGAACCCGGGACCCTTCAGTCCACAGGCTGATGCTTTATCCAGTGAGCCTTCCCTTCCTTCTCTACTAACAACCAAGCCATGCTGCCTCGGGATTTATTATTACTATTATTAATATATCACCACAGTTCTCAATTGCAGGACGTGTTGGCAAACACTGTGACCTTTCATAAACAATGCTACAGTGAACACCTGGCTGGTGAGTTGTGCTACACACGCAGAATACAGCCACAGAATGAAAAGAGGAACTGTCTGTGGGTAACAGGCATGTACAGTTTTTGTGGACATTGCCAAACTGCCTCCCCGGGGATCTACAGAGGGCACGTCCAATGTCAGAGGGAGATGGAAGGGAGAAGAGAAGATAGAGAAATAAGAACAGCGGGCTGGAGGCTGAGTCACAGGGACACTTCAGAGGAGACCTCTGAGAGACAAAGCAAAGGGGGCAGTGCCTGGAAGGAGCCATTCCTCCCTCCTTGCGCTTCTCATTGAGTAACAGGCTACCTAAAAGGGAAAGAAGACAGACTATGGGCAGTCTCCCTGGCAGGCAGACAGGCTAGCCCCACCGGCACCCAAGGTGGAAGTGGCAGGCAGAGCGATGTGTCAGACTTGGGGCCAAATCAACCATGTCCACCCCCACACAGCTGGCTGTCTCCAAGCCCCAGTGCCCAGGAGCAAGGGGCAGATGACCTGTCCTACCACTCCCTCCTTCCCAGCCCAAGAGAGCAAAGGGCCAGAGTGGTAATAAAGCCAGCCCTGCCTTCAGCTGCCTGCCCGGGGACATCTCCGGGCAAACAGACTCCACCTCCTAAGCCCCTCCTCCCAGGGGAAGGGGGAGAAGGCAGGAGAGGAAGGAGCAAGGTGCTCAGGCGGCCACAGGAATCTGGACTGGACTGGACTGGCCCGACCACAGGAAGAAAGGGGAACAACAAACCCATCCTGGGGAGGATTTCTCTACCTCACACAGGAACCAAAGGTTTAAAGTCCTAAGCACCAGCCCCTCTTGCCTGACAAAGAGGCTTTCTCCGGCGCTGACCCACCTCCAGCCTCTCTAACTGGACTCAGCGGAGTATGGGCTCCTTGGCACCACACAGCTTCCCCCACTCCCCAAAACACTGCAACACCCTGAAAACGGCCTGGGGCTCACACCCAGTCCAAGCCCTACCCAGCTCCCTCAGCGCCAAGGAAATTCCCACTCCATCCTGTCTTGTGCCAACCAGGCCAGTTTGGGGTGGGAAAGTTTCCCGATGAGAATGGCTGGTTCCAAGACCACGTGGCCCGGTCCAGCGCAGCCCCCGGACCGGACTCCGGGGTTCCAGGCGCTGGCCTCGGAGGGGACTCCCAAGGGTGCCACTGGCAGCGCAGGTCAATTAGAGTCATCACCGCCTACACTCTGCCACTTCCTTGTGGAACAGGCTCAGTCCAGGCCCAGGCATGGTGCCCCCTCCTGGAATCCCCACCCGAGACCCAGGAGAGCTCCTTGAAGGGCAGGGGGAAGAGTGGGCCCGTAACCCGGAGAGAGAATAGACCCGAAAAGGGCTGGAGAGGACAGTCGCTCTCCGCTTCCCAGAACTGAGGTCACCCCAGACTCAGCCTTGGGCCCGGGCTGTTACCCCCAGGCTGTTCCTTCCAGAGGGCGGCCTTGTGTGAAAAACAGCGCAGACTTTCGGAGGTCCTGCCTGAGTCCCAGGCCTACCATTCATGGGCACATTGTTTACCACGGGAGCCAGTTTCCTAATCTGAAAAGTGGGGCGACTCCTAACAGCCCCCTTTTCAGAGGGGGCTGTCAGGAGGCTTCGGGGAGAGGGTGAGTGGCACAGCCATGAGAAAGCTGTAAAGTGCTAACAGAGGTCATCAGCTGTGACCCATCCCTGCCCCGGAGCCAGAACAGCAGGTGGAGCGGTGGGGAGTGAAGGTCTCTGGAGGGGCCCTGATCTCAGTAATTGCTCAGTCCCAGGAAGAAAGAGGAGGAGCCCCGGCCCCCTTTGCCTTTATCCCCGGAAGTAAACAAGGGGAGCAGAAGGCTTGGTACCGGATCCTAAGGCAGGGAGAGAGAGCCCGGCCTGGCTCACGCACACACCTGCCGGGACAGCTGACATCCCTGCCCTACCAGGTATACATACTGATGAACTGACTCACCCACAGCCCTTCTCACTCCCACCCCAGAGCTTCTGGCTGCTATGCCCTCTCCCCCTCCCTTTTTGGGTCAACTAGACTTGTTCGTAGTGACTGTGGTCAGCAGCTTCCCCCAGACCACCAAAGGCCAATAGGTGGGGGACAGGGTGCAGAGGTGCTAACCAGTCCCCAGCCCATCCTCGGAGGAGGATTCTCTCCCCCATCAGGCGCACCTGGTGCCTCAGAGCGTGCAGGGTCCGGGGCTGCCTGGCCCCGGGGGTGCCCTCTAGTCATCCGGAGGCCTCCAGGCAGCTCACTCCCCGACTCAGCAGCATATCAGAGCCAGAAACCGAGAATCGGAGGAGCTGCCTCCTCCATCCCAAACACACTGCCCAGAGCGCCAGCCCACTCAACCCCCTCCATCCAGGCGCGGGTCCCGGCTTTGGGATGTCAGCCCTCCTCTCTCATCTTTGTTTACTGTGCATACTGCCTACGTCTAAGGGGGGGTGGGGGGGTGGGCTAGATGAAACTCTTCTCAGTAACCCCTCCCTGAAGCTCCCTCTCCCAGGACCCCACAGCCGTCTCCCTTTCGGGGTCTCCCTCAATCCATCCATCGCCACCCCCACCCCCCCCACCCCCGTCTTACCTCCAAAGCCCTGAGTCCGCAGCTCCCGGTAGGAGCGGTATACCTCCCTCGTGAGGTAGTTGACGAAGCCCTCCTTGGGCGCGAACTTGCACACGAAGTTCTGCTCGTAGAGGCAGTTGAAGAGGAAGCAGGCGGCGGCGGCGTCCTCCCCGCCGGCGGGCTGCAGCTCCACCAGCGCCAGGTTGCAGCCGCTGGCGGCGCAGCAGGCGCGCACGCAGTCCCGGCCGCGGCGCACGGCGGGCGAGCCCAGGAAGGTGGCCCCGTTGCTGACCGAGGCGTCGGTGTCGAGCACGAAAGCGGGCACCCCGGGGGTGAAGCGGTCCAGGCAGGCGGCGGCGGCGGGCAGCGCGGGGGGCGTGGGCGGCGGCCCGGCGAGGGTGCCCGCCAGGCCGAGCGCGCACAGGAGCCACAGCGCGGCCGCCGGGGCGCGGGCCCGGGAGCGAGGGCCGCCAGCCATGGCCGTCCCAGGGGCCGTCGCCGTCTCGCCCACGGGGGTCACCTTCACTGCGCTGGCCTCTGGGCTCCGAGGGCGCCGGCGACCTGAGAGAGGGGAGGAGACAGGTGGCGGCACTGGATCCGCCGGGAACCGGACCCGCCCGGGGAGCCTTCCAGGGAGGCGGTGCGGGCCGAGGAAGAGCTGGGGAGTTCGGGGCGCCCCGGACACCCGGCCGCCCACCCGCGGCCCCAACGACGGGGAAGGAGGTCGCGTACCCGGACACACGCACGAGCGGGGAACAAAGGGCCAAACATGCTCCGAGCCCGCTCCGTCTCCGGGCCCCGGTTACCTGCGCAGGTGAGCGGGGTGGGGTCGGGGCGTCAGAGGTTCCGGTCCCGACTTCCTGCGCGGCTCCGGTCGCCGCTTCCGCCCAGGTGCAGGGTTTGCGGGAGATCCGCCTTCTCCTCTCCCAAGTTTCTGGTGAAACTGAGTCAGCGCGCCGGGGCGGGGCGGACATTAACCCGGGCGCCGCCGCCCCAGCACACGCCCCACGCGCCTCGGCCGGCGCTCCCCTGCCCCGCTTCCGGTGCACCTGTCCGCGGCCCGGGTCCCCGGCCCTCCCCCGCAGCCGGGCCCCCGAGGGCCCAGCCCCGAGGCGCCCGCCCTCGACCGCGCCCCGGAGACTGCTCTACGCCGGCTCCACCGAGTCCAGCTCGCGGGGGGCGGTGGTTGCCTGCGCCCCAGAACAGCACCCCGAGCCCCAGAGGCCCAGACGCGCCAGTGAAGTGGGGCACCTGAAGGTCGGGCGCTCTGGGTGGGGCGGCTGCCTCCCGCTTCCCTGTCGGGTCTGGGTCAGCAGTCCCTCCCGCAGGCTCCAGGCTCCCGGATGGGGCGAGAGTGGAGACACAGGGGAAAGCCTGATGCAAATGACTTCGCCGTCGCCGCCGCCATCAGCCCTCGGGAAATCATATCCCTTGCCTGGCAGTGTGGGATCCCGGAATCTGTGCGGCTGCGCCACCGATGAGTGGAATCCGGGTGCCTGCACCTTGTAACCACCCTTGCCAGCCCCAGGAAGCCCTTCTTCCCCGGCTTCTCTGCTGGACCGCAGTGGTACCTTTTGTTGGAGTTTGTTTACCTTGGAGTCTGTCGGAGCTGAGTCCCTCCCTGCTGGTGCTCCCGGGTCAGCTGCTCCCCGCCTGGTGCGCAGATGCCTTCCCTGTCACTCAGGGATGCTCCTGGTCTGGAGTTGGCCACTCTCTCCCAGTGAAATGTCATCCTCGGAAGCTAGAGGTTCCAGCTCACCAAAGTGGTTGAATTAATGACCTTCACAGAACCGTGGATTCCTTTAAGCCATGCTCATTGCTTTTCCTGAATGAAGAATTCCTCTTAAAGACCGTTCTTTACAAAGCAAGATTGGTCCTATTAATTCTCTTCCAAATAAGAGACTCCACATCTTTTCATGATGACTTAACCCCCGACCCCTCCATGGGAAAATTCTTCCCAATTTGTTTTCTAGAACGGCTTTACCTACTAGGTTTTGTAGCAAAACCTTTGGTCATTTTTCTGACTGAGCTGCAACATCTCCCCGTTGTCCACATTATGGGTGGGAATCTAGGATCTGCATCCTTTTCTCTGGGTTTTCTGAGTTTTGTCACAGCTGGGTGGAAATAAAGGGTTTTATGGCTTAATTCCTATTTCCCCCCAAAACCTTATACATACAGGAATCCTAATAAGGAGATTTGACCTTATGATAATACTATATTACAACAGATTTATTATTACATCCATTATACACACCATTACAAAACCTATTTTTATCAAGCACCAACAGTGCCCAAACCCTGTTGCTCAGTATTTCTCACATATTGCCCCATACATTCAAACCAAGAAAGTAGGTACTATTTCTATCCCCATTTTCCAGATGAGCAAACAGGCTCAGACAGGTTAACTAACTTGTTAATCATGTGGCAGTTAACAGAGTGGGGACTGGAGTCCCAGCAAGCAATTCTATTGCTTCAGTGGGCTTTTCCCTATTTAGAATTCTGAGTTCAGATGGAAGTTCCACCTTCACCTTTACTGAAACACAAACTCATTTTCAAGTGGTAAGCAGCCACCAATAGATGAGAGATTTACTGTGTGCCAGGCACTGGACATCCACTGAGTGGCCAGATTATTATGATCTCTGAATGCATAATAATCCGGTTTCTCAGCGTGTGTGTGTGTGTGTGTGTGTGTGTGTGTGTGTGTGTATTAGAGGCCCGCTGTATGAATGCATGCATGGGTGAGGTCCGGCCAGCCTAGCCAGGAGCAGGGGACATGGGTGGTTGTCTAGCCTGCCTGCTGGTCAAACTCCTGATCGAGGGGAAATTTTGCATATTAGCCTTTTATTGTATAGGATATACACTGAGTGGCCAGATTATTATGTGTTTGGAGATCATAATAATCTGATCACTCAGTGTATATAATTGCTAATGCTCACACAACTCAGAATAATTTCCACTTTGCAGAGGTTTACTGACTGCCAGGTCACATGAAGAGTGGGAGGCAAGCCCGTATCGGGGTTGAGCTTGTGAGCTTCACACTTGAGACTAATGCTCTTCTCTGCCACTTACTATCGGTGTGCCTTTGTTTGCAAAATAGGGCTGCATGGGGTTATTATGAGGATTAAACGAATTAATACAAAAAAAAATGTGACACTGAGTACTCAATAAGTGCTATCTGAAAAAAGAGTCAGAGCCAGGATGTAATCCTGTCTCTCTTGCCCTGGCTGGTTTGGCTCAGTGGATGGAGCATTGGCCTGTGGACTGAGAGGTCCTGTGTTCAATTCCAGTCAAGGGCATATACCTTGGTTGCTGGCATATCCCCAGTGGGGAGTATGCAAGAGGCAGCTGAATCAATGTTTCTCTCTCATCGATGTTTCTAACTCTCTATCCCTCTCCTTTCCTCTCTGTTAAAAACATCAATAAAATATATTTAAAAAACAAAACAAACAAACAAAACTACACTCCTTCACCCTGGCTGTGGCCCAGGTGGCTGGGTGTCGGCCCACTCCCTGGTGCATCAAAAGATCCCCAGTTCCACGCCAGGCCCCGGCACATGCCTGGGTTGCAGGCTCTCCCTCTCTCTTCCTCTCACTCTAAAAATCAATAAAAAACAAAGAAACAGCCGAAATTGGTTTGGCTCAGTGGATAGAGCATCGGCCTTTGGACTGAGTGGTCCCGGGTTCAATTTCGGTCATGGGCATGTACATTGGTTGTGGGCACATCCCCAGTGGTGGGTGTGCAGGAGGCAGCTGGTCGGTGTTTCTCTCTCATCAATGTTTCTAGCTCTCTATCTCTCTCCCTTCCTCTCTGTAAAAAATCAATAAAATATATTTTTTTAAAAACAAAGAAACAAAAACACAATATTTCCCCCACTATCTTAAGCTGCTTCTGATAAAAAGAAAAACTACACATGAGAGGAAAAAAAGATGATCTAACAAAGTGGTGAAAGTAATGGCATTTGAATGGTGGAAATATGAGGTATTTCTTTTTAATTTTTAAATTATTTTCTTTTTAGTTTTTAAATTATTTTCCAAGTTCCCTTTAGTGAACATGGACTGCCTCTATAATGAAGAGAGAAATATATCATGATAACCTCCACATTCCTCCTATTTAACCCTGGAATTGCTCTGGCCTCATTGTCCCAGTCACTTTGGAGTTATCTGTACTCCTTGCCTTTCCCTGCAAACATTCAGTCAGCCCTTGGGTCCTGACAGCCTTCCCTGGTATTCGCTCACATCCACCCCTTCTTGCCTGTTGCCACTGCTGCCCTTGCTCTGGGCTCTGTGCCAGCTTCCAGATGGACCCCAGCTGCCCTGCACACTGCATACGGTTCTCTCCTCCAGCCCTGCCTTCATCTGCCCTTCACCTGTTCAGACCCTCAGGGACCTCAAGTGCCTCTGTGGCAGTGTATATAGAGCCAGCTGTTACCTGGATGGATTCATGAAGTTCTGTCTGAAGAGACAGTATCAGAACTATTGGGGGCCTTAGTTAAAAGCCTTCACCTTATCTGTAGGAAACTGAGGCCCAGAGATTTGACCATGGTTCGTTCAGAGACATACAGCAAGTACTTGGAGAGGCCAGCCCAGACTTAAGGTCTCTTGACTGCCAATCTTGGGCCCTTTCCATGATGATTATGACTTGCCTTTCTAGAGCATTTCCGGATGATATCGTTTTCTAAATCTCTATTGCAGGCCCAGGGCCAGATGTCTGGATGAATTAGCTGTTTTATTAGACAATGTGGCTCATCCCCCCTGTGAACTTGGAGAATAGAAGGCCTGCATTCCCTTTGAGATCAAATAAGTATGCCCTGGCAGGTGTGGCTTAATTGGTCAGAGCATAGTCCAGTTGTAGATTCAATTCCCAGTCAAGGCACATACCTAGGTTGGTGCATACTCCATGTTCCTCTCTCCCTTTCCTCTCTCTCTAAAATCAATAAAACCAGCCCAGCCTGCATGACACAGTGGTTGAGCGTTGACTTATGAACCAGGAGGTCACAGTTCCATTCCCACGGGTTGTGGGTTCGATCCCCAGTGTGGGGCATGCAGAAGGCAGCTGATCGATGATTCCCTTTCACCGTTGATGTTTCTATCTCCCTCTCCCTCTCCCTTCCTCTCTGAGATCAATAAAAATAAGTTAAAAAAAAATAAAAACTAGAAACATATGCCCTGGTGAGGATTAAAAAAAAGATGGTAGACCAGACCTCTCATCTTCCTGTAGGTGCAGGCTGCCCCTCCCACCAAGAGGGGGCACCTACCTTTTCTTTCCCTTTGAATCTACAACTTGCTTTGACCAATAGGACATGGTAGAAGTGGTATCACATGACTCTTAGGCTTCAGCCTTGTGGCTTCCATTTTCCCCTCTTAGAACCACGTGTGCTGTAGAGAAGTTTGACTACCCTGTAGGAGAGAGGCCACCCAAAGAGAGCGGGAGAGATTTACCAGGGAGAGAGAGGGGTCCAGCTGAAGAGCTGCATTGACACTCTTAGTCCCAGTCTAGTCACCCCAGCAGAGGTTAGCTGCACCTGCCAAACCCAGCCCAGCAGCCTTCTGGTGCGCAGGACACGCCCATCCAGCTGAGCCACACTGGCCAGGGCAAGAATTATTATTATCATAGAAAATAAATAATTATTCTAATCATAGGAAACAATTAATTTAGCAGAAATTTCTTTTGCAAACTTTTTAAAAAATACCTTTATTGATTTCAGAGAAGAAGGGGGGGAGAGAGAGAGAAAAGAGAGAGAGAGAGAGAGAGAGAGAGAGAGAGAGAGAGGAGAGAGAGAGAGAAAGAAAGAGAGAGAGAGAGAGAGAAAGAGAGAGAGAGAGAGAGACATTAATGAGGAGAGAGGATCATTGATTGGCTGCCTCCTGCATGGCCCCTATTTGCTGGGTCTATGCTCAACTGCTGAGCCACACTCAGCCAGGCTATTTGCAAACTCTTTAAAGATAATTACAAACACAAAGTATCCTTTTAAAAGTGTCCCAAATTAAATCAAAGT